ATGAATACTGGAAAAAGGCAGGTAATAAGGCTCATGTGAAGGTTTCTGGAAAACACTGGTCACTAACAGCCCGTTGTTATTCTTGATAGTTACGTCTAAGAATTCTACTTCTTTAAAGACGTTCTTCTTTAAAACGACTATGCGTCGAAGGAAGCGCCGAAGGCGCGCAGCGAGACAAGCATTGTGTAAATTGTTGCGTAATGGTTCTTGTTTTATCAAGCTTTTAGCTGCTTAGAGTAGTTTCCCATCAATTTCTCCTAGTCTGCTTCGGTTTCCCTTAGTTTCCTTTACTTCAAAAAAGAGAACAAAAAATAGTACTAGAACAGAAAAAAAACAAATATTTACAAACACATGTATGCAGTTCATTCTTGTCGACCAGCTTCTTGGACTCTTCTTAAACGATCAGATGAAAGCCGATTTTTGCTGGTCATAAAAAGCCAACAGGCGGTTTGTTTGTGCATATATTTATCTTGACCACCAATGTTTACACGAAAATAACATTTTTCTTGTTCTGGATCAATTTTATCTTTTATTCTCATTCCTTTAAAATCAATTTTCTTTCTTGTTGATAAAGTATTTACCGTTACTGCTGTTAATTGTTGTTGTTGAACATTATTATCATCATCGCCGCCCTCGTCTCCTGTTTGTATTTCTTCATCTTCATTAATAGCTAATGGATTATCATCAACAAACTATTACAAATACACCTTCATTTCTTACATCTCCACCATCAACAATAAATATATATGCATCTTCATCAATCCCTTCGCCATTATCAACAATAACACAAACGAATACACGTGTAAATAGTCAATTGAATAAAAACGATCATGAAGAGTCAATAAGAAATAGAATTGAAAAGTGGTATATTCAAAACCAATATACAGCATTAAAAAGCGGTGATGATTATACATTAACCATACATGAAAATGCTGACGGCACATTTAAAGGAAAAATTATGTGTAAATGTCGTACGTGTATATTTTTGCCAATGGAAAAAGATAGTAGTGATGAAGGTTTTCAAATATCAAGATTTCATAAACATTTAACAAAAACAAAATGTACCTCATTAAAACAAAAGGAAGGTAAAGAAAATGCAGCCAAAACAAATAAGCCAACTATCAGCATTTGCATTGAAATCAGCCGTTCGACCCACCGTACGTCTATATATTTTTTTCCATTTGTAGGCAACAACATCATCAACAAGTAACATCAATACTAAATCAATACAATCATCTATACAAATAACACCAACGAGAAAACCAGCTGATAAGACAAACAATACAAGTACAAAAAAACTAAAGCGTGCAGGTGATCCTGTGTCAAACGATAGTCGACCAGCTAAGCTACGAAAGTATTAATTATCGTCAATAATAATGTTATACAAGATATTCAATAAAAAAAATGTATTTATTTATCTGTTTTATGTTGGTTTTCTGATTTAATTTTCGTTTTGCTACTTTGTATATGTGTGTCAGTGATTAATAAAGAATAGATTTTGGTATTTTTATATAATTTGTATGTGTATTTTGTAATTGAATGGGTCCTCTTTGGGTCTGAACAGGATAAATCTCACCGATAAGATCGAATTTTCCTATAATAAGAGCACGACATATTTCATATCTGCGTACATTCCGCTTTGCTACATCGTTCAGTACATTGCCATTCAAAGATAACTGTAAAATCCAAGTTATAAGTGGGTTCAAAGAGCCGAAATTAAGGC